AAGCCCACACTTCCTGAGTTTCCTAATGAGGATGTTATGAGAGACAGTATCAAAAGCCTTTCTGAAGTCAAGGTAGAGAGAATCCACTGCTCTCCCCTCATCTAGCCAGCCAGTAATGACATCATAGAAGGCAATCAGGTTGGTCAAGCATGATTTCCCTTGGGTGAATCCATGCTTACTTCTCCCAATGACGTTCTTTGCTTTCACATGTTTTGTGATGATGTCCAGAATGATTTTTTTCTAACACCTTCCCGGGGATAGAAGTGAGACTAAGTGGCCTGTAGTTCCCTGGGTTCTCCTTCTTGCCCTTCTTGAAGAGTGGAGTGACATTAGCCCTCCTCCAGTCTTCAGGCTCCTCTCCTGCTCTCTGTGACGTCTCAAAGATGATGGAGAGTGGCCTAGCAATAACATGTGCCAGCTTTCTCAGAACTCATGGATGCATCCCATCAGGGCCCATGGATATATATGGGTGTCCAGTTTGGCTAAGTGGCCTCTAACCTGATCTTCCTCTACGGAGGGAAAGTCCTCCTTTCTGAAGACCTTATCTCTTATCTCCAGGGTCTGGGATTTAAGAGGGCTGGCTTTTGCAGTGAAGACTGGAGCAATGAAGGCATTCAGTAACTCCACCTTCCCCGTGTCATCAGTCACAAAGGGCACCCGCCTCATTTGTCAGCAAGCCTACATTTCCGTATTCTTCCGTTTTTTATTGATGTACTGGAAGAAACTTTTCTTGTTGTCCTTGATGCTTCTCACCAGCTTTAGTTCTAGGTGGGCCTTAGTTTTACTTGTTGCATCCCTCCATTCTCTTACAGTGTTGCTGTATTCCTTCCTCCCAAGTGGCCAGACCTGTTTTCCACATTCTGTCAATTTCCTTCTTTAATTTTTTCCAGAAGGCTTTATATAGCCCATGAAAAAGTCTTCTCTTGCTTCCTGTTTTTTGTTTATGGTTCAATTTTCAGAGAGTTTAAACTTGCCTTTACTTTCAGTTTAGAACTATGTCTCTGTGAGATCTTAAGCCGGTCAGATCTTAAGGCCAAGCACTTTAAATTGCTAGCAACTTGTTTATTTGCTGTGAAAAAACCTTGTCAGTGACAATGACGCCTATAAATCAGGTGGGACATAAAAGTCCTTAAGGCAGTCCTTGAACATTTTTAAGACTTTCCTCTATTTTTTTAGGAATTTGTTCTAAAACTTGAGATTACGTCTTTTCAGTTAAAGGTTTACTTGTTTACTATCTGGATTTTATTGCAGTGAAAGCTGCTTTCTGTACAGTGGATGTGAAGTACACTTGTGAATTGATAAGTTTATGCACATTAGTACAAAGTTTTAAAAAAAGAGTATTATGAGGCATTCTAAGAAAGTACCTATTTTCTCAAGTTTGATTTCTCAGATAAGGTCACCTCTGTAAGGGATAACTGGAGAAAGAGGCTGCCTGAAAAAAAGCTTTGCTTTTGCCTTGTTACTTGATCTTAAAGCAAATAAACTACATTATAGACTTAATATTGCTCAATTTTGTTTCTTCTCAAGGCTGGCTGGCGAATTTTTGAAACCTGATTATTTATTTGTTGTTGTTGGACGTGTGGGTGGAGCTTGCAGTGATGTTCAGCAAAGTGTTCTTCAAGTTTCTCAGTATTCCAGGAGGGATAAACTGGTAGAAATTCTACAAAGCATAGGTAACTTTCCTTATTGCTAATCATTTTCTAGGGAAAACAAAATGACTTGTTTTTAAATGGGTTCTGTTGCTAGTTGACCAAGTCATGATTCCATTCTATTAATAGATTTTACAGGCTTTACATGACTAATGGTTGAAGCTTAAAACAGACCTCAGGGAGTTCTAGATTTATAGACATACTTCTGTTACTGGTATTTCTCAAGGAGTCATCTCTACTAGCAGACAAAATTCTTTATATGCTCGAATATCTGTGAGGGTATTATCTCCACATTGTACGTGTATTAAACTTCATAGGTGAATGTTTAGGTCCATACTTGGTTAATGGAAGGGCTTTTTCCATTTTTGCTTTGAAAGTATGTTAAGTTTTAATGCTGAAAATTGAAAGGGGCGTTGGAATTAAAAAATGGTCTGTGTTCCTTGCTGTTCAGTGTTCAGAATGATGTGCCACTTTTAGGCACGTGCTGTCAAAATTAAGTATATGCTTACCACAGAGAATTAAATTTGTTTCCTCTTACTGAGGAGGAAAATACAATGCACTTGTCTTAAGTTTCTGTGTTGATCTGGAATTTGAGGGATTGAATTTTATTAGTTCAACACAGGCAAGGAATAGCAATCATACCTTAAAGACTTTATTCAAAACCTGTTCTGATATTAAGTATCTTTATAAATAGTTGCAGCTGTGAATAGTGAAAATGCACTAGGTTTCAACTTGTAGTTGATTGGAACTTTTGTTCAACATAGGTCACGAGCGAACCATGGTGTTTGTGGACAAAAAGAAAAAAGCTGACTACATCGCAGCCTTTCTTTGTCAAGAAAACATACCAGCCACTAGCATCCACGGGTGAGTATATTTTAAACGAAAGTCAGATAGTTCTTATTGTCAGTCAAATTTTTATTGAGATTTCATGTTTGGTCATATCTGTGTGACTTTGCTTTCCTTGTTGTGTGTAGCCCTGTGATCCTCAGCAACTTTGCCCTGTTGAGAATGTAGTGTTTCTGAAAGCCAGTTCTCACAGCATTTGCTGAGTATCCATTTTTCTGGTTCAGCACACCTGAAATACTCTTTATGGAGAATCCTATGCCTACCACTACAAAAAAATCAGTAGGTAACAAATCGAGTAGAATCAGCCACTGTTTATATGTGGTTTTTGTCATCATTTTTGTGACCAAAAGCAGACCTTGTGGTATTACTGTTGAGATACTTGTCAATTCATGTGGCAGATGACAACCTTCCACTCTGTCTTATAGGCTTTCTCAAAGTGATGAGGTTAGTCACCATGTTCCATACATATTTCAGATGTCATTTCTTCATCCTCAGTGTGTTTGTGAACATAGAATTTGTGTGGAGATCAAACTAAAGCGAAGATGGTCCTAACTTGTTTTTGTTGCCTGCTCATTAGTGTTGTACACCTGAATAAATGCTGAGAAGGTGAAATAGCTGCTAATTCCAGGACTTAAGACCATCTAAAAAGATTGTCTTTCATGTAATGAGCTAGAATGTAGTTCTGTGGTGTTTTTATGTCAAAATGTAGAACAACAAACTCAACCTTAAAATTTCCAGTAAACTATACCATACCAAGAATATAACTTTGCAGTCTTTTTCATCTTGTAGGAGAAAAAGACCTGAATTCTTGCTAATAAAATGATGTTTTGGATAGTGTTCTGATAGACATCAGAATTTCAAGATTGTAGATGGGTAAAAATTACCTTAGCATACGAATGCAAGATAGTGTCCCTCAGGGGTCTGTACTGGAACTGGCACTGTTTAATATCTACCTCAGTTGTCACCAAACAGGCCAAAAATAAGTTATGGACACCAGTGTGTTGCAGATAAGCAGACATTTTTAAAGCACTGAGAATACAGGGCATAACTCTACTTGGCGTATCCTAAGTTGCATTACAATCAGCAGGTTTTATATATTCAATTATATAAATTATTTAGCATAAGAATGCATATAGTGCTCACTTTTAATTACATGTTAAATTTAACATTTACATTGATTGGCCTCTTACATTCTGTTGAGTTACAGAAGTTCATGCATACTAATTTCTAACAAAAAATCATTGGTCATCTGTAATCAACCTGTTGATTGCAGTCGCTGATACTCAAACCAGGATGGATCTCAAGTGGATCTCCAAGTAGCATAACTGGTTACTGTGACCCTAGCCACTGTGTGATAGCGTCAGTATTTACAATTGTATTATTCTTTCCATGGTAGCTGCTTAAACATGGTATCTTACTCTTCATGACTTTACAGTTCCCATTTAAATATAGTATTAGACCCTAGCTACTTCTACCACTTGCTTTCTTTGCGTGGTTTCTGTCACTATTCAAGTAAAACACAGTAACACACCCTCTGTGATTCTGATGAGACAAATTTCTCCTCAGTTTTGTCTTGCCCGATTTAGCCCAACCAGGCCCAACCACCCCTTCCTCCCAAAAGTAATAAAAATCAGCTCAAATTAGTAACAAGTGATACAGACAGTGGGATTAAGGACATCCTCAGCAAGTTTGCACATGACACTATGATGGGTGGTGCAGTCAGCACACAAGAGGGACAGGATGTTATCCAGAGGGACCTGGACAAGCTAGAGAAGTGGGCCCAAGTGAACCTTATGAGGTTCAACAGTGCCATGTTCTGCATGTGGGTCCCACACTTGGGTAGGGGCAGTCCTCATTATCAACACAAGCTAGGGGATGATGTGAGAGGGGGCAACCCTGTTGAAAAGGACTGGGGGGTACTAGTGGATGAGAAATTGGATGTGAGCAAAAAGTGTGCACCTGCAGCCCAGAGGGCCAGTTACATCCTGAGCAGGATCAAAAGTGTGGCTAGTGGGTTAAGGACAGTGATTCTGCCCCTCTACTCTAGTAAGATCCCACCTGCAGCTCTGGAGTACTCAACACAGGAGAGAAGTGGACCTGTTGTAGAGAGTCCAGAGAAGGGCCATAAAAATGACAAGAAGGCTGGAGCACCTCTCCTATGAAGACAGGCTGAGAGAGTTGGGGTTGTTCAGCCTGGACAGGAGAAGGCTGTGGGGATGCCTTACAGCAGCCTTCCAGTACCTGAAGGGGGCTAAGGGAAAGCTGGGGAGGGTTTGTTTACAGGACAAGGGGTGACAGCCTTAACCTAGAGTAGGGTTGATTTGGATTGGATATCAGGAAGAAGTTGTTTACAATGTGTGGTGAAACACTGGAACAGGTCGCCTAGAGAGGTGGTGGAGGCTTTGTCTGTGAAGACATTCAGGGTCAGGCTTGATGAGACTGAACAACCTGATCTAGTAAAGAAGGTCCCTGTGCACTGCAGGGGGGTGGACTAGATGACCTTTAAAGGTTCCTTCCAAACACACACATTCTATTATTCTATGATACTTGTGTGCATCCTCTGCCTTGTCAGTTTTACAGGTCTGCGAAGGATAATTTGAAAAGATCTGGCTTTCTGTTCTTTGCTAACCTGAGCTGCTCTTCTACAAACTGTTTTGTGCAGGAGGAGGTTCTTAAAGTATTTTTGTAGAATTACAACACTGTGAGTTAACGTATAGTTAGGAAGGGAATAACTGGTTCCATGGAATGCTGCTAAATTGTAATGAATGTTACTTATTTTTTATTCACTTGAGTTTTTTGTGTTCAAGTTAGGATAGTTGCTCTTTTGAGTAGTAGTCATGCTAGGCTTCACTAAATGTCTCAGGTTCTAAAGAGCACTAATTTTTAGCTTTCTAATTTGTTCTCTTTGGACAACAAAGAACATGACTTGAACTTAGATCCTACTGTATTTAAGTACTGGACAATCTGTAAATGCTCTTTAAAAAGTGCAAACCCCAGAGAAAATCCTACACTTTCTACTATATTTGAAAAATGGCCTTTGCAGGAGTCTAGGCTTCATCTTTGCTGTTCTGGCTCCATGCTACAAAGCAGTAGGAAAAACATTTCTAACTATGGCATGAAGAAACAATTAGTTAAACAAGTGGATCTTAGGGAGGCGGGGTGTTTGATACATGACTATTGCTGATTCTTTGTAAAAAAATAATAATTCTCTAGAGAGGTAGGTTAAAATGTTTGCTGTCTCTTACTGCTAATCAGTTAACAATTCAGAAAACCTGGGTAGTGTGTGGATTTTTTTCCCTTTGGGAACCACTTTTGTCCTTGAATCATGACCTTTTCACTTGTATCTTAACTAATGCTGTGGATTTTTAGAGATCCATTCTAACCATCCATTCTAATCTCTGCTTTCTTTGCAGAGATAGAGAACAGAAAGAGAGAGAAATAGCTCTTCATGATTTTCGTTCAGGAAAATGTCCAGTTCTTGTGGCAACTTCAGTGGCAGCAAGAGGTCTGGATATTGAAAACGTTAAACATGTTATTAATTTTGATCTTCCATCCACCATTGAAGATTATGTACATCGAATTGGACGAACTGGTCGTTGTGGCAATACAGGAAAAGCAGTTTCCTTCTTTGATGACAGTTCAGATGGTCACCTTGCTCAGTCTCTAGTTAAAGTGCTTTCAGATGTAAGTTTCAAATCTTAGTGCTTAACTTTTTCTCTTCTTCAGGATTTAAGTAGAACGTACTGAGCAATTATTATTTCTTTGGTACAGTTACAAAACTCTTTAATATGAACTGGTAAAGCATTCAGAGTCTCTAAATTCACTTTTCTGATTATCTAGGCCCAGCAAGAAGTTCCTGTTTGGTTGGAAGAAATTGCTTTTGGTTTTCAAGGAGAAAGAGCATTTACATCATTTAGTACCCAAAAGGTAAGTCCAGAAATGAACTGGAAGTCTTGGCTTTTATTAATTTTTGTCTCAGTATAAAACCGTATTTGACATTATGTAACGAAAATAATGCCACTGAAACTGTTTTGCCTGTATCTGCTCTGTATGTTAGTTATGCATCTTCAAAGTGCTGAGTGTTTCTGCAACTAATTTTGGACAGCTTGTTTGACTTGAACTCTTACAGCGTGGCCTTATTAGCTGCATTAGTGTCAATCTGTAGTGTCAAGAATTACTCTGTGGAAGAAAAGGTTTGTGCAACTGTTGGCAAAGGCTGTAGTTCTAAAGTTGCTGTTCTGCACACATAGAGTAGGAGCAAATGGTTGATAGTTACACAGTCACTGCTTGTTAAGTATCACTCAATTAAGTACTTTGTTTGACTAAAAATCTTCAGTTAATTATAGCCAGATAAATGTCCCAATCTGATCCATGTCAAAATTGTTCTTAATGTCTGTGATGAGGAAGAGCCTTCTGGTCTCTTAGTGTTGCTGATACCAGATGTTAAAATATAGCTTGAGTAAAATAGACAGCTTAGGTGGTGTAGTTCTCAAATCTGAAATCACTAGTTTAGGATTTTAATTCTATGCCTAGTCCTACTATGAATATTTTTTTTCAACTGATATTTGATACTTTCTGTCTACTTGGATTTTAATGCCTTCAGTGAAACTCTTTCCTTCCTCTCTTCTGTAAGAACTTTATCACATTGCACTTGCATTCCAAATACGAATACTCTTCTACAGACCATAAGAGAAATAATTTCTCTCAGTGGTTACACAGTGTCTGAAGCTCAAGTTCAAACTCAGACCTTCCTTTCATTAACTTTTTCCATATCATAATTACTGGAATTACTACTGGGTGGTTTGAGGGTATTTACCTGCCTAATCAGTCCTGATCAGGTCCAAATGTTTTTTCTTGGGGCCTTCATGGGACCTCAGTTACACACTTAAACTCTTCCTGTTTCTTCTCACACTTCCAGCCTCAGTGGATCTTTCTTCAGGTTTTTGTTCGTGGACACACTTTAAATCTGTATAGGATTGCTTTCAAGGTGGATCTCACCAACTTTTGAGTCTAGATTGCTTCCATATAGTTGTCTCCAGACTTCGTGGAGTGTCTCCCAGCATTTCATTAACTGTCATTTTAAAATCAAAGTCTGTCTGTCATGTCCTGTATGACCTCTGAGTTGCCAAACCTGAGAGTCACTCTTTGTTGTCATACTGTTAAATGATTGGAAATATTTATTCTGAACTGGTACGTGTTCTGTTTTCTAGAATTACAGAGGCAGAGGCGGCATGAATGCAGGAAGAATGAAGATGCCATATTCTGCAAGTGAATCTGAGTCATGGGATTAAAACTACTTTAGTTCCAAAGTAGAATATATTCTGTTGTGGTTTAAGTGAACTGTTGTACTTAATGTTTCTTACTGTTGAGCTTATTGGAACACTGAATGTTTAAAATAGAGTAGCTCCTATCATATACTAAAGGTGTTTCAGCAACTTACATATATACACTTCCTTGTGGCAAACATAGTGATGTTTATAACTGCACATAGGATGTCAAAAGCATTTTTTTAGGAAACATTTTAGATATTAAATGTTACAACTTTCAGTAGTGCTTGATGCTTGGTAGCTAGTATGCTGTTGTAAAAAAGACAGGCAAGGTTTTGCAAGTGGAAAATCCCTTGAACTTTGATTTTATTACCAGAATTTTCCATGGGAAGATAGCCCTATGAAGACCTGGTTTGGAAAAGAGCTGTATGTAAAGGGCTCATCTGAATTTATTGTTCATTCCTGTTTGTAACAGGTCAGTTTTAAAATTTTAATCTAGTGATGAGGTGACTTTATCCTGAGGTTCTGTTAAACATCTTGTAAACAGTTACTTAATAAAAGCCTGAGGATTGGATAGCTGCTTCTACACCACATAGACGAAAAAAACTTGTCATTTTAGTTTCATGAACTGATACTATTTTGATATGCATGAAACCTGTGCATCTCTTTGTGGAACTGAAGGTCAGTGGCTATAGCTGCACCTTAGTTGAAATGCATGCTATTGCAGAGATGTCTATAGAGAAGGATAAAACCCTGCATCATTTCTAGTATATGTTTTTTGGTTTTGACAGCCATAGATACTGTTCTGTTACCTCTTGTGGAAAAGTTTTCTTTAGAACAAACTTGGTGGCTTATGCCCAAAACAGTTTCCCACATTCATGGAAGATGTGGAAGCTAAGCAGCCATTAGCAGATCAGGGAGTTTTCCTTAAAGTTGCTTTTTCTTTGTTTTTTTTTTTAATTATTATTTACCAGTGCAGAACGCCACAAAGACACATATCATTGTGTCCCAAATGAACATGCAAAGTAATTGTAATAATAATTTGTACTGTCTTGGCACAGCTAAACAAGTTTAGTTGTCTTCTTTAGTATTTACCACACAATGCTGAGCACTATTTTTTGTATGGTCTTCCCACTTAATACAGGGAAGTATTACTTTTAAGCTCTGCTTACAAGACTGAAGATTAATGCCCATGTTTGTGAGAATCAGAGTGACTTGGGTAGTGCTGTGGAATCTGTTACTGTGGAAAAGTGTGCTGCTGTTCTTAGTTTTTGTTTTAATACATTCTCAAAAGTGTGTATCTACTGAAGTATCTATTTACAAAAATACTGTTATTTTTGTAGACTGAGATTTACTGCTATATAATGTGCAAAAAAGTAAAGTAAGTCTTGTGTACTTGAAAGTGAGCTGAAGGGGTGGTACACGTAAATTGCAACTCAAAAGTGGTGAATGTGTTCAATCGTGAAGTCTTTAATTCAGAGTACAGTACCCTGGGCAGTATGACTTCCTTTTTCTGACAAGCAAATACTTTGAGAATTTTTTAATCAATTCTGAAATTCAGGTAAGAAATCAAGGGTGCTTTTGGTTGTTGGCTGCAACAAATGCAAGTGAACTTCTTTTTCGAGGAAGCTGTTTGGCTGATGAAGCTTTCCATTTCTGCAAAACAAAACCAAAGGAAATGTAGCCATGGACCATTTAACCTAGAAGGAGCCTGACATAGCCTTGTTTAGAGGACCACTTAGATCACTGGGTGTTTTTTCATTTGCATCCCATCCTATGCCTCTTGGGTTGTGACGGGCAGCAAAGGGAGTTCTCTAACTGTCTGAAGAGGTGTTCTGGCCATGTTAGCTGTCATTTGCACTGAAGACTAGGTAAGGGAAAAAACAGTGCTGTTCTGGCTTAGAACTGCTGAGAACTGTTAAGTGCTCAAACTGTTCAACAGCTTTCTTTAGAAGCACTGCATGAAACACTAAACATTGTGGAATTTAATCTCCTTTAGAGAGCTGAAAGTATAACTTGTCATACCTCACTAAAGGCTATAAGGTGTGGTGGGTTGAAGTTACAGATGCAGCAGTCTCAGGCTTGCATATCTTTTTCATATCTCTCAGTTTATCAACTAAAACATCTCAAATCACCTCTATAACAATAAAGGGTTTGTATACAGGATGTTTATCAAAACTCAAGGGTTTGCCTTAAATATTTTGATAAAGGAGTATTCATCTTTGTGTAATTCTAGATGGGTAGGAAGAGGGTTGACAATCATTCTTCTTTTCTGAATAAACGTTTATCTAGTCAAAGGTAAAAGTGAAACGTGAATTGTGTATGCACATTTGCAGTATCTTTTCAAGACACATTTGACTGCTGGTGTACTGTTTAATTACAGAGTCACAGAATCTTAGGGGTTGGAAGGGACCTTGAAAGATCATCTAGTCCAACCCCCCCTGCCAGAGCAGGATCACCCAGAGCACATCACACAGGAATGTGTCCAGTCGGGTTTTGAATGTCTCCAGCAAAGGAGACTCCACAACCTCTCTGGGCAGCCTGTTCTAGGGCTCTGTCACTCTCACGGTAAAGAAGTTTTTTCTGATGTTTACATAGAACCTTCTGTGTTCCAGTTTGCACCCATTGCCCCTTGTCCTGTCACTAGACATCACTGAAAAAAGCCTGGCTTTGTCCTCCTGATATGTATTTGTAAACATTGATGAGGTCACCCCTCAGTCTCCTTTTCTCCAAGCTGAAGACACCCAGCTCCCTCAGCCTTTCTTCATAAGGGAGATGTTCTGCTCCATCATTTCTTTGGCTCTGCGCTGGACTCTTTCAAGCAGTTCCCTGTCCTTGAACTGAGGGGCCTAGAACTAGTAGACACAGTATTCCAGATGTGGCCTCACCAAGGCAGAATAGAGGGGGAGGAGAACCTTTCTTGACCTACTAACCACACCCTTTCTAACACACCCCAGGATGCCATTGGCCTTCTTGGCCACAAGGGCACATTGCTGGCTCATGGTCATCCTCCTGTCTATCAGGACCCCCAGGTCCCTTTCTCCTACACTGCTCTCCAGCAGGTCAGCCCCCAACCTGTACTGGGACATGGGGTTGTTCTTCCCCAGGTGCAAGACTCTACACTTGCCCTTGTTGAATTTCATCAAGTTTCTCCCTGCCCAACTCTCCAGCCTGTCCAGGTCTCACTGAATGGCAGCACAGCCTTCTGGTGTGTCAGCCACTTCACCCAGTTTAGTGTCATCAGCAAACTTGCTGAGGGCACACTCTGTTCCCTCGTCCAGGTCGCTGATGAAAATACTGAATAGTACCGGTCCCAGTACTGGACTTGCTGAATTTATACCCTCATGTTTCTGGGTAAGAAGAGGTTGCACAGACTTTCTATTTGCCTGCACACTGTCTTGAACTATAGTATATCTTAGTTTTGAAAAATGGTGGCATTATGCATTGGACTACATGATCTATTTTTCTTCTGCTTCAGCAAGTTGCACATATGCCATAGGGTTTTGAATTCATAAAAAATATTAAGCAAAAAAACATATGTAAGACAAAAAACCCCAAACAAATAATGAGCAGACTTTACCAATGCAATAATTGGTATTGCATTAAGTAGTGCATGCACAAATCTGAAACCCATGGTAAAGTCTGGAACATTTGGTGGCACAGTGTTTGCAAACATTTCTTCTTGAAGTTCCCTTTCACAATAGTCTGTAAATAAACAGAACATAGTTTTTCAACACATTCTGCTCAATGCAAACTTTTTTGCATTTCCTTTACTGTGCATTCTACAATTTCAGTTTACATGCAAACAACTAGCAAAACCTGTCCCTGCAATGGTAATGAGATTATTTGAAGAGGAAAATAAGTCAGATTTACTACTTTTTTAGAGAGCCAGAAATGAAAGAACCAAGACTGACATTAGATACTTTTCTCTGATAAGAAATATAGAATATCCAATGGGAAGACAGCAAGGAAGAAGTAGGATTTTTTTTAAATTGAAAACTTCAGGAATAGTGTTTGCAGAAGACTATGGTTTCTTCCTGAATATTCAGGGTTTTTTAAGCCTCTTGTGACTTCTTAAATAGATGTTTAATATGCAGGAATATATTTCATTCTTACTCCCAGCTGGAGAAAGCACTGACGAAATTGGGGTGGGAAATGAGTTGCACCGTTAGGTACCTCTCTGTGACTTTTTATTCCTGTGCTTGGGTAGTTTTTTATTTATATGGAGATGCATTGAAAGTTTTTCTGGGAAATAACATCTTCACTCTTCTGATAATACTTTCTTCACTCAAGAATCCTGTTGTCCTGCAGGTGATAGCATGGGTGTTTTTAAATGATGTCACTGAACTGATTGAACCTGAGAACAGTGTACCTATAATTCAGTTTAGATGCGTCTGCACTTGGCAGTGCCTGAAATTTTTTTCCTCATGAGGTCATATTCTCATCAGAGTCTGGTAGGATTGAAATCAGGAGAATAAAGAGGACATAAAAGTCTGTAGAGGTGACTTGTGAGAGCTGTGTTTTGGCTGTGCATCCTGATCAGAATAGCAGTTCTAGTAGTGGTCAAGAGCAAGTGAAGTTAAGGGTTTCTTTGTGTAGCAGAGAAAAATAAAATAAAAATATTTTATAAAGTAGTAGAGAGCTCAAGTGCTAGCTTTGATGAACAGACAAAAAAAATGTTTTTCTGAAACAAGTTATTCCACTTACAGGATAGTCAAGGTCAGAAAAAGACCAAAGATCATCAAATCTGGCCATCTACCGTAGTACCCCTAACCACTAAACCATCTCCCAAAAGCACCATATCTACCCTTTTTTTTAACACCTCCAGGGATGATGCCTCCACCACCTCCCTGGGCAGCCTGTTCCAAAGCCTCACCACGCTTTCTGAGAAGAAATTTTTCCTAATGTCCAATCTAAACCTCCCTGTGTGCAACTTGACCCCATTTCCTCTTGTCCCATCACTAGTCACTAGTGAGAAGAGGCCAACGCCCACCTCACCACAACATCCTTTCAGGATGTTGTAG